CGGTCGGCGGCGCGGCCCGGGGCGGACGCTCGTCGCGGCGTGGTCGCGACGTGCGACGACGACGCCCCCGGCCCGGGGGGTGACCCCGGGTTTGACGCGTGCTCCCCGCAGGGGGTGGAGGAGTTGCTGCAGAAGTGCCTCCCCCAGGCGCAGCGCAAGTGGGACAACTTTGAGGTGGAGGAGGCGGAGGTGGGGGTGGAAGTGGAGGTGGGCATCCTGGACGATCTCATCGGCGAGGCGGTGCAGGGGTTCATTGCGATGGAGCAACAGAGGGGGGGCCGGCGGCGGGTCCACCCGGTCGCTTCTTGAAGCGCGTCGGGGGGGGGGTACTCAGACGAGAATTTGGAGGGAGGCGGGGTCGCTGAGTGTTTGAGTGGTTGAAAGGTGGTGGGAGTCCCACTTCGGGGGCGGAACATCAGTCGCGCGAAGTAGGGGATGGAGGAGGATTGCAATCTGGGCGGGCGTTGGGGGGGTTTACCGTACCAGAAGCTCTTGACGGACGGCTTGCATGTGTTGACCACGAGCGATGCATCGCGTGTTGTTTGCTGACTATTTATGCTGTTGGGAACGGTAGGAAGTTGTGCCCATTGAGGCGCACCTCTAAGTAGCTGGGCCCTCTTTTGAAGCAAAGAGCCTGCTGTGGGCAGGAGTGCCGGCCCTGACTAATCGTGGTGACCCGGGCAAGGGTGCTAACCCGTTAGCTTGAAACAGGGACAGGGTGTTTGCCGTTTCTGCTTGGACAGACCGCCTTTGGACTTTAAGGCTCGGACCGACGAGTTGAACCTTATTACCTAAGTAAGACTTGGGCCGAAAGAAACGTCGAGTTGGGCTGCTTGCGGCTTAGTGCTGCCTTGATTGGAGATGATGTACCATAGAGCTAAGCTAGAAGAAAGTGCGACCACTGGCAAGTTGCACAGGTTCTCTCACCGGCTTGCTTTACTTTATCGTTTAGGAATCGCGTCAAACAATTCAGGGTAGGGCCTTTCGTTTACCTAGCATAGGATCGTCGTAGGTTTATTGTTTGATTGATGACTTTCTTCTACTCTTGTATTGTACCGTATACGTTGTAGTGCCTTACGATTGAAAGAATCTGTGTTGTATAGTACATGATAGCTCGGATTTCTTTCGATTCCAATGATGATGGGCGGCCCTAATCACATGTGCATTACTGTTTGTATTGCAAGCCTGAAGAAGCTATACCAAGGACGCTCGTCGGATGTGTTAGTATCTTGGTTAGAAGCTTGATCCATCCAACTAATCGAAGGTAGCTTGCAAGCATGACTACCTTACATTTGTGCGCCCGGTCAATTCTGAGTTCAGCAAAGCGGGTGTATACCTCGGTTCCGATCGATCGAGGATGACCATGTCCAGGCAGTGACCAGCACTTGCACCGTTGCGGTGGCTGTGATTGCATGATTGAGTAGACGGTTGTTGTTGACCTGTTCGACATGCCTTCAAGTTCGCTTTATGGAATGCTTACACAGGTATAGCTAGATCGCTCGGCCCGGCCCATGACTGAATGAACGATAAATGAACTTTTTCATATATTTGTTATTTGTTATTGTTTGATTAGCGTCGGTTCGGAGCCGTGATCGGCTAAGTCGACGATTGTCCTATTACGCTAGCTCGCTTATCTAAAGCAAGATGCACGAATTTACCTACCACATCTGTGTCCTGCAAGTTAAGAAAAGCTTTCAAGTCTCTATTTCGTCTGTCCTCGAATAGAAACTGAAAGGTCGTTCGAATGTCACTATAACCCGAGCAATCATATACAAAATGACTCTCCGTCTCTATTGCTCCCGACTTACAGACCTGGCAATGTCGCTCATCGCGAGCAATCCCTTGCCAACTCCCTGATTCAATAGCGAGCTTGTGTGCTCCCACTCTGAATTTGGCTAGGGTTGCAAAGTGCGCGGAGACGCCTATTTGATCTAATGAAAGGCTCAAAGGAGTAGCCGATCTTGACTTCACCAAAGTACGTGCAGAACTTTCGGCCATAACCCTCCCTCGGGTCCTGCATATATGCCATCTCAGACCTCTCTTGAAGCAAAGCTAAGTCCAGAACACCTGTACTTTCGTTTGCTGACACATGCGCAAGCATGATCTTTGATGGCAAGCACCGCGCGCTCGATGGACTCTGTCTTTGTACAATTTGCAACTTGGTCACTGCCAAGTATAAGCGGCCCGGGGTTGAATGGAAGATGGCGCCACTTTGTTTGGGATCGTCCAGCTTGTTCCGACGTGGGCCGCCGCCCGTCATTGTGTATATGTCCGTTGGCGCGGGCGGCTTGTCCGGTTGCAAACTCTGACGTGAGATTCCCGGAGCCTGCCTGAGCCTGCCGCCGATAGCGACTTATAGTTAGCTCACCTAAAACCTCACGAAACCCTCCACGCGAAGAGCGGCCGCGGTTTAAGGAATTGGATCGAAATCCAATTCGGCCAGCTGCATCTAGCAGCTTAGTATTGCCATCAAATCCAGGGGGTCACCTGCGAAAAGGAGCTGAACCATGGAACGACCGGGTCCAAACCTGAAAAGTGGATGCTTTATGAGCACTGGCAGGTAAGCCCCGATCGGATTTCCGGAGGAAGGAAGCACTTGTCATTGAACAAACGCTTGAACAGAGTCTGCGGGGCAGATGTCTTTGTCGGTTAGAGCTTCGTGACAGATTAACTTGCGGGCATTCTGACTCTTTCATGCATCAGCCCTGCCCCGATTAGCTTTCGTACCTTTGCCATGACTGCACTCTTCATCGTTGTGAGCTAACACTTTCGCAACTCTGTGTACGTGAATTTGCAGTGTATACAATCATCTGTTAGTTGTCCAGCGTTGCAAGCTTGTGCTCAATCTTCTGATTTGCTGGTCACGTCGCACATGAGCGTTTGCGATGCATGCTCAATAAAACGCACGCTTGTTCGCGGAAGAAGAGAACGTGAAAGAACAAGCTCGAATGTGAAGAAGTCTGAGACTCAAGAGACATTCTCCAAGCAGCAATGTGCAATTATTCGCAATGGTCGGAGGCGGTCCGTCAATGCATCTACAGGAAGAACACTTTGAGACCGACATGTTCCTTACTTGTTATTGCAGCCTACTCCAGACCTCTTGGACTCTTCTTTCTTTCCAATAGTCAGTAGATTGTTGAAGCTGCGCCGTGGCCAGACTGCTAGCTTAGAGGAGAAAACGTCCGTCTGGTTCCTTCTTGAAGCAAAATAGATATTGCACCAGCCTGTACCGTGACTCGACCTGTCGACGATTGACTGCCTGACTGTCGTTTGCAATTTTGCAGGGGTGATGTAGGGAAGTTTTTGACAAATGTTCGCTGCAATTTGCTGTTGGCGCTGACTGTGGCCCTCAAAGATGCTCGCCCATACTTTGCTGATGGTCTGTATATTCGAGAAGAACAGGCGGCTGGAAGTGAGGACGGGTTCGTAGGGAACTCTCCATTGCTGTTGCATTCACTTCTCCATTTCAATACAAAAGTTGTGGCAGTACTGTGAGACTTTGAGCCCAGATTTTCGGGGCACCCTAGAGTTTGAAGCTCTGAAGATATGTCCTTTTTGAATAATCCGAGGTCGGATTTGTACAAGCCCTCGAGTCACTTCTTGGATCGCGTCGGTGGCTGACTCTTCAACAACCTGATTAAGTACTGAGTACTGAGTGGCCAACTGCCATCTGCTTAATGATGCTCGATGTACTGCTCTTGAGCTAAGTAAGTATTAACACGATCAGCTCCCTGCAGACGTGGGCATGTTAGTCGTCCGTACATGCATGTGGAAAGGCCAGGGAATACTAACGACCGCTTTCCTTTGTGGGGAGGAGAGACGTGTGGAAGAAGTCGCTGCCAAGTTGGAGCTGGACAGGAAGGTGGCAGTCCTCGTTGTCCCTCTCGCAGAGACACGCTTCCTTGTGAAGTCGATTGGAGATTGCACCGCCTCATGGGGGAACGGTTGACAGGTAACATTTCTTCATTGGATTGTCTCGATCAGGCTGATGAAGAATGGACTTTTCCAAGTTGGTGTATAAACGAGAGACCTGTTCAATGTCGCTTTGGTTGCAACTGATTCATGGATCAGTCGCAGCAACAATCGACTGTGTTCGCTTAAGGTTCAGGTTAAATCCAGAAAACGAACGAGGCTCTTCGTCAGTTTCGTCTTCAACCTAGCATGGCGCACAAGAGAGGACTATGCCGCCGTTGCAGCCCCTTAAACAACTCGAAGTTGTCTATCTTTTTTACGGATACTCATTTTGGATTGCTATGAGGGCAACGTTTCATGTATATTTTGCAGGAGATGGGTGCCAATGATCCTCATACCGTCAGCTTCTCGCTTTCTGTTGTGTAGCCCGAAGCACCTAGACAGGGGACCGTAACACTGAAATTGGACAAACTTGACAATTGAATAGGTTAGCTGAGCAAAGTAAAGAGTAGAACAGCCCATTGGGGAGTAGGCACTGCCAGCTTGATGATTCGACTTCATGAGTGAACTACGAGTATACCTTGCCAGTGACGTCCGTCAGTCCGTGCCACTTAATGCAGTGCCCTCGAGCTGCCACCCCGGCGGCCCAATACTAGAACCCTTGATCAGATGAACTTGTCGTAGCATGTTTCATCTGATCATCTGATGCATAAGTAAGAATTTTGACTCCTTGAATCGGTGTGACATCATTCGACTATTCGACCCTTCGAGTATTGTACCACTATACGGAACACACTCCTTCGATTGTGCGGCTCCTGCAGCCAGCTTGTATCCTTGTAGCAGATGAGCATATATCAATCAAATGTATTATTTCGTCTCTCGTAAACGGTTGAGCGCAGAACGAGACGCTAGTTTGTTCTTCAAGGCCCCTTGCCAAGATGTATTTGGTGTTTTATTGTTGAGTCGGGCGCGCGCGCAATCGACGCCGGGGCCGCCACTAGGATTAAAGCCTTAAATTTGAAGAGTCTTAGCAGCAGACAGCAAGCAGACAGCAGCTCGACCGCATTACTCGAGTGGAATCTCGAAAGAGCTCGCGACGCAGTGGATTTTGGGAGTTTGCATGGATCTCGTCATTCATGCACTAAATAGGGCACCAATACGGGACCATTAGTTCCTGAATGCTGCGTTTGCTGTGTCCGCGTGGGATTCCGGTCTTCCTTTCAAGGGATGATTCCGGTGGCAAACTTGTGGCCGGAGCGTGCGGAACGATTGTTGAGCGGCGACCACTACGAACACTGCGAAGTGCATAGCTAGCACTCGGGGTCGCCAAGGACACACAAATTTGGAGGATGAACATGGGCTTCAGCCTTCAAGTTCATGTTTCAATGCACAGCTAGCTCTGTGGACGGGCATGGCATATTAAAACGCAGCAACGGGGCAACCTTGGAAAAGCTAGGGAGAGCTCATGAGCCGAACCTTCTTTCTTTAGTGCAGTGAGCCAGGGGGGTTTTGACAAAGCATTCACAATCACGATCTTTTACACATTAGCCCTGCCCCCGCTTGATAAACGACTTTTGCGTGTGCTTCCCTTGTACATGCACAGCTCTGTCCCGATCCGCACAGTACAGGCAGCGGAGCCGGTTAAGTGTGCATGCGAAGGGTGCGTCAGCTTCAGAAAGACCTTGCTCCAGCAGTGGCAAGCGTACATGAAACCCTAGAAGTGAAGCTCAACCATGAGGCGTTAGATCCGGCCACCATGTGCATTCTGAAACCCTTCAAAAAAGCCAAGCGAATAGGCAGGCAGAACTTGATCAAATTGGTTTATAACAGGCAGGGCTCTCCCAGCCTCTCTGATTTAAAGAGTGGTCGCAGCACCTGTAGTTGGGAGTAAGCACCACCTTGAGTGACCTTTGCGGATAGTCACCGTCTGCATTTCCTCTGCAGACCGCCTCTTCCAAACTTCCTGCTCACCTCAAGATGTCAGCATCGGATGACTCCCCAGGGATTGAGCCGGTAAGCAATGGTGCATTTCAACATTGAGTTGATGCCTGTTCTGCAGCACAATGTGTTCTGATGCGATATTGCCTGGTAGCAGAAGCAGTTGCCTAAAAGGTTTGATTTCCCTCAAGATTGCTATAATGGCGGCCAGATCTTGCATAAGTACTTTTCCCTGTGCCTCTGCCTTCTATCAATTGTTTCTGAAAGGATTTATATGCGGAGGGAGGATTCCGCTACCGGATTGTGCCGCACCAGCCACATTGCATTCCTCCCTATGCTTACCACGTAGGCCTGTCATTAGCACGGGAGCCGGTTCGCTCAGAAGCCCTCCTTCTGGCGATCAGAGCTTGCACGTTCATACAAAGCCTAGGAATCTCTTCAGGGTGGTCGAGCAGATGGGAGCGCCCTGACGCAATAAATGCACATATTGATACGTTTTGAGTTATTCATTAACCTGATGTTCAGGAATCCTGTACTGTGCTCATGACTGGTGGTTTACAGCCACCAAACATGTCACAACGCCGCTAGTCTATAGCAAGGTCAAATCGCTTCAATCGATTTGGCCCTTCTCTATATGCACGATGGATGTGGCCAGACAATTGCAAGTTTGTAAATCTATACTCTACAATTATCAGCGGGGGAAAAGGACGGACTGGATTTGATTGTCGTTTCAGATGCAGGAAGAAGAGAAAGTTTCGCCAGAGCTGATGAAAGCGCTCCATGGGACGGGGCCCAAGCTGACGTTCTGGCCGCTTGTCGCGCTCATCTACTTTGAGGTGAGGAGCACAGTGCAGCATACTTTTCTGTGGCCAGCGTCGCGACTAAGGAAGTGGAGCTACAACAGCCCGTTCACAAGGTTTGCAGCCGAGAGGTCCGCCTGAGACTTGTAGCTCACAGCGATTTGCCTCTTGTGAACATGCCGGTTGACCAAGTTATTTGGCAATTGTGATGGTTGCCAAGGTGCTTCTATAGAAAAAGTAGCTGCTTCTTGAGAACGATCGCTCCAGAGATTGGCAACTTGCGTTGTTCTCAAATCTCGATAATTATTCTATGAAAGCGTTTTCTTAAGGAGTGGCTGCTGGCCGAGCATCGTTGTGCCCCTTTCGACTGGGCCACTCTACGGATCTGGACGAATCATTGCGCAAAAGGCAACACTGCTTCCTTCCGAGAATCCTGATTCTTCCAGGTCGCCGGATATGGCGGAATGGCAAGCATTGGGCGTGGTCCGAACTGCAATTGCCTCAATCGTGCCAGCCTCTTCAAGCGCTGGCCTGCACCATCATTGACAATAACGTGGGGCCTTTCTGTCGCTAAGAGTACTCGACTTTTCGAACCAGGTTTCGGGGGGTCCTTACGGGGTGGAGGATGTGGTCGGAGCTGGGGGCCCGCTCCTAGCCATCCTAGGCTTCCTCGTCTTTCCGCTCGTAAGTGTTCCCACATCGGTTACTGTCCAAATAGTGACCCGTCGTCATCTTACCCAGGCTGTAGGTCCATCGATATCAGAGCCTGGCTTTCATCATACGACCACAAGCTCAACATGTACTAAGAAACCACATCAGAAACTGTTGTCCGGCAGACTCTGATGGGACTAATATTCCGGAATCGTCCCTAAGCATAGGGAGAGCTCCCCTCTTGCGCAGCTTTCTTGTCCGCAGCAGCCGCTCACAAGCTCTCTCCCGCAGGTCTGGAGCGTTCCAGAGGCTCTGGTGACGGCAGAGCTTGCCACGGCCTTCCCGGAGAACGGCGGCTACGTGGTCTGGGTGACCGCCGCGTTCGGGGAGTTCTGGGGGTTCCAGGTACGGCCCGCTTCCGATGCTTCGCCTCGTTCCGCTTTTTGATTTTCCAAGTCTACTCCACTTATCCACTTCGCTGGCGTCCGTTTCCGTCGTGACCCCTGCAACACTTCCACGAGGCCAAGCATGGACATCGCTTCGAAGTACATGTCTCTGTAGGCGAGAAGAAACCGCCCTTTTGAGCACACGAACATCTCGTGGGGGCGGCGCCGTTGTGGTACGCTATCAAGCCCCGAATTCCGATGCAATCACCCTAGCAATGGGGGGAAAAGGACAGAAGCCTGGGACAAGTGTGCACGCCAGGGAAACGGGGGCCATTCATGATTTCCGCTGACTGATTTGAACCCGCCACTTGTCCTTGCGTGCAGCAAGGGTGGTGGAAGTGGCTGAGCGGCGTGATCGACAACTCGCTGTATGCGGTCCTCTTCTTGGACTATACCAAGTCGGTCGTCCCTGCACTTGGGGGGGGCTTTGGCCGGGTCGTCAGTCTGAACGTCATCGTGTTTGTAAGTCCGCTTGTCCCTCGCGTTTTCTCTCCCTAGCAACACACCTTTGCGCGTGGGTGGTGTCACTCTGGAGTTGCGAGGTGCATGTTCTTATTGCGTGCTTTAGCCATGTAGTGCCAACGCGTAAGGTACCTAGGGGAGCTCGAAGTCCCTCCGCCGATGCCTGCCTCTCAGTTACTGGAAAGATTATCAATGAGATAAGATCCCACTTCTTCTCTATTCACCCCGCTGGCCCTTGTGTCGGCGGCTGAACATATCAAAAAGCAGCCCACCTATGAAAGCGGCCCGGATTTAGCGGAGTTCCGCCTTTCCTGCCTGCCACTTGCAAACCCCGTCACTCAATCACTCTGTTCTCAAACGAGCCCCTGTATCTGTCTGCCATCTGCCGACTTCATAAGCTTTCAAACGAACCCCATGAATATGCCTGCAACCTCTTTATCAGCTCTGAGAACCCCATAGTTTTTTTAACTTATCCCAGCTATTTCCTGCCTGCCAGCTGCTAACCTACCTTAACTACCGCGGCCTGACCATTGTCGGTTCTACTGCGGTCGCCCTCGGCATCTTCGGCTTTCTCCCGTTCATCGCCCTCGCTCTAGTTGCCATCCCGAGGATTCGGCCTAGTCGGTGGTGAGCACCCCCGCTGATCCTATCTCGACGTTCGATGTCAAACGTCCTTCGACAAGGGGGTATGCAGTCAGATTGCAGTTCTTCGTTGGTGGATGCAACAATTATCTATCCCTTTGCTCCTTGCTGTCGCTTTGGTTTTACAAGACGCGCACTAAAGCTTTGCTTTTGCCGTGGAACTTCCTGTTGTTGCAAGAAACGCGTGCATGACACGAAGCATGTCCTCGACGGTCCGAAATCCGTTGGCTCAGTCGAGTCCATTCGCGGCTTGCTCGCGGTCGATGGGGTTCAGATACGGCACTTTGTTTCGACGGAACTAACTAAAGTCGTTGATTCTGAAGCTGCTCTAGTAACTTGAGGAGTTCCTGTAAAGTCGGAACGGTCCAAATGCCAACCCATCACGAATGTTAACAATCTCGACCTTGTTAAAACACACAACTGAGGTGACTCCAGCACCTCGTCTCGGCTGAGTAGAATCTTACCAGGAATGATTTGCTGACCAATAACGGTTGCTTTTGCTTCTGTTTGCAGGTTCGAGTACCCCCGAAGCCAAGTTTCCTGGCGGGGTTACATGAACAGCATCTTCTGGAACCTCAATTATTGGGACAGCGTCAGGTGAGCTGAGCTTTCGTTCGCAGGGCTTGGCAGGCCCCTCCAAGCCACGAGATTCGTTTTCCCTATACGCTTTCCGTAGAATTCTTGAGCTCACAAACACTTCGACGCCCCTCGTTGTTCTAAACACGTAGCGCAGTGCATAAGAAGCGGGCTGCTCCTCGTTGATATTGAACAGGACCGCAAAGCTCATATTGTGTCACGGCTCTCAAATCCAACTTCTAAAAGACAACCGTAGACCCGATTGAACCCAAACCTCAAACCCCAACCCTCAGACCCGGATATAATCGTCAGACCCAGACTTTTGAATCAAACTCCGAATTCCATCTCAAACCTCAGACCCGAAAACGAGATCCAAACCCAGTCCTCAAACCAACCCCAAATCTCAGACCGTAAACCCACCCCGTGCAGCACGCTGGCCGGCGAGGTCGAGAAGCCGCGGCGGGTCCTCCCGCGCGCGCTCTTCGTGGCGGTCGTGCTCGTCGTCACGAGCTACCTGCTTCCGCTCATGGTGGGCACCGGCGCCGCCCCGGTGATCCTGGAGCAGTGGCACGACGGGCACTTTGCGCAGGTCGCGTACTCGCTCGGGGGGCCAGTGCTGCGCTGGTGGCTCGTCTTTGCTGCCGCGTCGTCCAACATCGGGATGTTTGAGGCGGAGATGAGCAGGTGAGGGGGTCGCTGGGTTGAGTGCGGTCCGTGTTGCTGGATCGAGTTTTGTGGATCTGAATGGGGGAGGATGAAGTTGAAGGCTCGAGGCAGTGTCAAGAGGTGGGCATGGGAGGATGGGAATGACTGCTTAGATGGCCGGATTCGTTTGGTGGAAGCATGAGCTGGAATGCGATACTCGATCATTCGGGCTGGATACGAATTGCTGAACGTACCTCCTAGAGTGAGGAGCTGAATGTATCCAAGTGGAGCGTTCGGCTGGGCTCGGTGATAAAACGGGTGTTACTGTACGTCCATGTTCGCTCCTGATTGGCATCAGCCTGGGTTGGGAGCACAATGCAAGGGCTCCGCGGATGTGAACTGCTCGCTTGTTCGCTTGTTCGCTGCTGGTTAAATATCCCGTTTGACTTTCACTTCAGCGCCGCACCGAGCTTCTCCTTCGGCTGCCATGCATTTCAAGGCCGTGTCCCTTCAAAACTCGGGCTTGAAGCAACTCATGCGCCTCGACCCTGGGCCCCCCACAAACGACACAACGAAACGCCCCTGAAGACGTATATAAGCGATGATCCATGACCAAGTCCCTCAAGCCTGCAACGTGCACCTCGTCATGAAGTCTCGCCGAGAAGGGTCGGAGAAGTAACGGTCAGACGGAACACAAGGTTATAGACGGGGTCGGCGAATTTGAAGAGCCCGTACCTCGGCACAGACGTACCACTCGATCCTTCTTCTCTGCAGCGACTCGTTCCAGCTGCTGGGCATGAGCGAGCGCGGCATGCTGCCCGAGTTCTTCGCGATCCGCAGCCGCCACGGCACCCCGACGGCCGCCATCCTCTTCTCCGCCAGCGGCGTCCTCCTCCTCTCGTGGATGAACTTCTCGCAGGTGACCGCTCGCGCTTTCGCTTGTTTGCAATCTAAGAAGCCGGGTCCGCCGGATGTCTGAGAACCGGGTGACTTTGAGAATCGTATCAGCGTTTGTGTCGGCGTTTCGGTATCAGCTATCACTTGGAAAGCGTTCGAGGCGTTTGGCAGACTGACTAACTTCTAGAGTAATCATTATCGTCTGTGACCGCTCTTTGCTTCGAAATTGAAGTCTTTGGCAGGCCAAGCGAATGTTTTGTTTCTGACGCAGGCCAAGTGAACGGTTTGTTTCTGACGAGATCGAACACTCGCATGGGAGATTGGCGTTGCCGGTTCGAGTAGCACTTCGGGAACTAGACTGTGAACCTTCTCATCTCAAAAGTCGGTTAGAAAGAAGCTGGCGGGCGTTGCAGCCTTGTATTTTGGAGTAGCAAACACGTTTCCGGGCTTCGACAGCTGGATTGGAGGGGCTATTGGGCGAGTCAGTCAGCGAATGTTAAAGCAATTCTCGGTTCCTTCTCTCTTTGACCGCAGTCCTTGTGCGCTCTCCAGCTTCTGCTTCAGTGCGCTCGTCCTTCAACAGATTCCAATTCGGATTCAGCTTGCTTAATCGTCTTTGAGTCTCATCCAGTCCATCTTCAAGTTTTCCTAACTGCTGCAATAGTGTCCCTTAGATGCTGTTTTGAATGTACCGCTTCGGTTCTTCCAAAAGCATCCCCCACACGACCCGTATGTGACCCTACTACTCCAAATCTGGTGGCTTTCTATCTTACATGCTCTCAATTCGCACCGGCCTTTCCAGATCGTGGAGCTGTTGAACTTCCTCTACTGCCTGGGGATGGTGCTCGAGTTTGCGGCCTTTATCTGGCTCCGAATAAAGGAACCCGACCTGGAGCGGCCTTACATGTAACGCCTCTGCTCACTCGATCTCTCTAAACCAGAGAGTTTTCTCTTTCTTGCTTGTGCTGTTCTCTTCTGCCGGTTGCCGTGTCTGTGTCGAACAGCTTCATTGCATATCTTTCTGATCGTCGTCGGGTTTATTTTAAAACTATCGAGGCTCTCCAGAAACGGCAACCACGTCTCCAGGCCGTTGGTCGACCTCTCTGAAGTGTTAAGCCTGCAGTATGTCCAGTCAAAGATAAACGCAACCGCAGAGTCTACTTCTACCACGCGTCGCAAGAAGAAAGAGAATGCCTACGTAGCCCTGTGAGGAGCTTAGAAACCACGAAAATGTGTTATACCTACAGTAGGTCCAGTCGAAAATCAAACGTTGATCAGTGCACTTGTGCTGTGGACACGTGTGAAAGTACGTTGAAAAATATTCGCTTGCGTTGTATGCGACTGAGCCACCCCGTCCACCGTCAGGGTTCCGCTCAACACCACGGGGGTGATCATAATGTCCGCCATTCCGGTGTCCGTGCTCATCTGGGTCATGAGCCTCGCCTCCTACTATACCGTGGCCATCAGGTGAGGTCCCCCTCCGAACAACGAATGCGTTGACCTCAGTGGTTGGATAAGACGGCTTTGGCCTCAAAGACCGTTGATGTTATCTAGCCAATCGGACCGAGCTCGGATCATTAGGATCACACAAAAAGCGGGAAGACAAGAGCGACTGCAAAACCTCGTTGCTCTGGAAGCTCCCCGTGATGTCGCTGGCTTGAAAGTATGACCTAACGTCAAGCAAGTCCTTACGCCGTTGCTGCGCGTGTTCTTGTTGCTCGGCCGCACCGGCTGCCTTTGCGCTCTTTTAAAAGTCGCCTTTGCCTGTATGCGGGCGACTTGTCGCCTCATAAGCCGCTAGCTTATTTGAAGGAGTCATAAGCCAGTCATAAGTCATAAGTTCTGGCCCAGAAGCCAGAACTACGCCACCTATACAACTCCTTCATGAGCGCTCCTCTATCCCTTGTTTTCGCAGCCTGGTGGCTAGCGTGATCGGATTTGGGCTCCACCCACTGCTCGTTCTAGCAAAAAGGCACCGGTGGTGCAAGTTTTTGGTCGATCCGGGCCTTCCGGATCTAGATCACTTGGAGCACGAACATGTAGCAACCCCGGGAGATAGCTCCGAAGATAGTGGGCCCAGTCGAGGCGAGGATGCTCGACCAATGCTGAGCGATCCGAGAGGATCTGAAGGTTGAATCAATTGGACAGGGACTCGTCGGAAGCTTCGTAATGCTTTTGCACCTTCGACACTGTAATCCGTGTTAGCACACCTACTACTGCCCCAACGGTTTCTGCACGGGATGGAATGCGCTTGCAGTTCTACAACGGACTCAATCAACGGTCACAATGTTCCAATTTTGACCGGCCGATCCGCCCTGCACCAAGTTTCCTAGTGTCGACATCACATGGGGATTCGCGTATGTGGCCGGCTTAGTAGCCCTGTCATTGATTCTGCATCGACTGCATGTGTATCCCTGTGCACATGCATTCTTAAGGTCTACGATCTCTAGCAACGGCCGACCCCACATGTGCACTTACTCTGTGGTGATCGTGAACATCAGTGACATGTATAAGAGCCGCTAATGGATGTTGCTGCCATTGGCACACGCCCCGTCCAAGCCGGTACCATGCCAGCCTATACACACCGCGCATGATGCAGCTTACTGCAAGTAGGCTAGGACCGGTTGCATTCAATCCGTTCAAATGAGTAGATTGCAATTCACATGTCGGTCAGTGTCAACAATGCCATGACGGTCGCGGGGACTGAAACTGAAAACATGATGACGTACTCAAGGATTCGCAGATATGCAGTCCGGACTCCGGACCAAATTCGGTGGAAAATAGGATGAGCTGAAGATGGATTAAGGCGCAACTCTTTTATAAGCAATATAATCCCGCATTAAACCAGAATTCACAGAAAAATAACCTTGTCTATGTCATCAGTCAGCTTGCAATCTATGGTTATCATGGTCACATTTTGCATGTCCTCCCTATAATTTTATCTCCTTGTTGCCGTCCATCTTTCGCTCAACTCAGAAGCTACAGCCCATTGTAGAAGTTTTGGTATGCGCCAGCAATATCAACCTACCTACGCATCGCATTCTTGTCTTATTTCCGCAGCATAGCAGCTGCTGAAAAAATGTTTAATGTGAATCACTTGGCTTTGGCAACCGCACGCGCCATGTGCACCACCAGATCCACCACCCTGTTCGAGTAGCCCCACTCGTTGTCGTACCAGCTGACCAGCTTCACAAACGAGTCGTTCAAGGCAATGCCGGCCTTGGCATCGAAGATGCTCGACCTACACCAAAAGCCAAAACGGCAGGGTTAGCGAACAGAGCATGAACAAAAGTTGCAGAAAGAGCTCAACCTCTTCAAATTCTGCGACAATGGCAAGCTGGAAGAGCGGGCAACTCTTGCTTTCCTAATACCGCTTGCTTCGGCCTAGAAGGCTAGAGCACCAAAGAAAAAGCAGAATGCGTCGTGCACCAATTAAACTGACTTGCCTTTGACACGAAGCTTCAGCCATCCCCATAATCAAACCCAAGCTCGGCCTAAACTTGTCTCACTGGTTGACGAGATTGAGCGCGTTTTGAAAACAGTGAACTAATCCTCCCCTATCCTGTTCAAAAGCACCAGCCATGAATTTTCGTTTGCGCGACAACTGAACACTCACCGCTCGTCACCGATGAAGTCAGCGGAAACAACGTCATCCTCCGTGTAGCCCAAGATGCCGTGCAGCTCATCCTCAGAGGCTTTCCTGCGGACCAAGCAAATAGATCGCATTTATTTTCAACACCATCTTACAACTATCGCGTCTGACTTTACTTCAGACCTTGTCAAAACTGGCAGTCTGAGACAGCACTCATCCGGGCTGATCACGTGAATAAAAGTCGTTGGATCAATGCATCGGATGAATCAGACTCTGCGAGCGGCACAGTGAACTACGTGAGGCGGACAGGTGAAACATTATCACGATGTAGTTGCCACTGCTCTTCATTCTGGTATCGAGCAACAAGCTTGCCAGTCTTTCATGAATGTCAGGTTTCCCCTCTTCTGAGGTCAACACCCATGATTACCCACCTAGGCGGGACTTTGCCAATGTTACTCGAGCCACTTTAAAACGACAGCAGCGGAAGAAACTTGGAACGAACTGAACAGGGCAACATCTGCCGCCCAGCTCACGAGCTTAGCAAACGACACCCCACAATGATTCCTCTTATCCTTATTCGCATGACAGGCCAGCTGGGCTGCGAATGGGCACACGAAGAGTCGCAGATTACAAGCCCAACTGAACGCACTGCGCAGACACAAAGACTAAGCAATGACGGAGATAGAAAGCTGACGTACTTGATGGCAGCCTTGATGTCATCGTAGGAGGCGGGCCTCTCCAGCTTCACGGTGAGGTCGACGACCGACACGTCAGCAGTGGGCACCCGGAACGACATCCCGGTCAGCTTGCCGTTCAGCTCGGGGAGGACCTTGCCCACCGCCTGCACAACGAGGCCCGCTGACGTCAGCCGACGTTCCCAGCATTCCATTCGCGTCTGCTTTCCGTTGTGGTTCTACCCTAAATTCAAGTTTTGGATCAGTGACACACAAAGCGGTTTTGTTTCCCATTTCCGTCAGCGACAACGAAGTCGCCTCCTGCGCAGAGGGCCGGCCATCAATGCTTCAGCGGAGCTCGATCTTACGCAATCCTCCACTTACCAGTCTCGACCACTGGATCGGGCCGATCGCGGGGAGTTCGGTGCGAGAGCGTGCTTCCAAAGTCCAATCGGTCTTTACACGTCTTTCCAGAGGTTCCGATTTAAAGGGTCTCAGATTGCAGCCCCACTAAACGCAGGCAGCCGAGATTCCGCGAAAACGTGCTTTGCTGGTCACCTTGGCGGCTCCCGTGGAGCTGGGGATGATGTTCTGGCCGGCGCCGCGGCCGCCCCTCCAGTCCTTGCTGGAGGGGCCGTCGACGGTCTTCTGGGTCGCGGTGGTCGCGTGCACGGTCGACATGAGGCCCTCCGCGATGCCGAAGTTCTCGTGGATCACCTGCGGGCGTGCAGAGAGCCTTTGGACGCTAGAAAGAGAGAACAGTTTTGTAATTGACCTGCGGAAGAGTTGGAAATGATCATCTTGGTGTGTGAAGTGGTGCAGATCCGAGCTCGGATGACTATTCAGAGTCGACGAGCGCATTGCTGTGTGTGTGCGAGCTGACTGGGCCGTTGCATAGGGGGTGTGGCTTATGCTTGTAAACAATCTAAGGAAACCTACGAATCCAACATAGTGAAACCTGACATTTACCTTTACCGGCGTTGGGTCACGCGAAACTTGTTTTGACCTCCATCGCAATCGTGCTTTGTGAGACTGCTTCCCATGGACCTTTGACCTCAAATCAAACTGCCCGAACCAATGTCCTTCAACAAGTCGATCTCGAAAATATTCAAACGCTTTCGTGCAATCGAAAACCACGAGTCGTTTCGTGCGGCTCCAAACACTGCACAATCGGGGTCACGGCGGGTGCGCGCGCACCTTCGCAAGGGGCGCGAGGCAGTTGGTGGTGCAGCTGGCGTTGGACACGATCTTCTCGGACGGGTCGAACTTGTCCTCGTTGACGCCCATCACGTACATGGGGGCGTTACTCGATGGCGCGGATATCACAACGTACTCCGCACCGCCCTGTAGACAAAAGCCCGGACTTTGAATATTGTGCGGTACGAGAGAAAGGGTTCACAAAGTGGAAGTCAGCGGCTGGATACGTACCGTCACGATTGTCGGTGATGTTGGTTGGACCTCCCCCACGCAACAATACCGGTTTGTGTCAGTCTAGTGTCCCATACGAACCACGTATCCTCGGTAACATTCACAAGGACGCCGTCTTTCAGCTGCTGATCATGAGCCCGTCAATAGTAAAGAAGGAGGGCTGCTTCTACTCCCGTACTCGACGTATGCCGGTTGTATATCATACTGCTTGCAGCAAGCTTTTTTGACACTCGCCGAAACCTTAGCCCCGCTTGTTCTAGAGACTTCTGCCGCCTAGGTATCTGTGACCTACAACCCCGTCCGCAAACGATGTTTCGAGCACCAAGCAAACACCGCTCTTCAACGAGAGCAAAGATCAAGTGAAAAGTCACCACTCAATCCCGTTTGATGCCGAAAAAGACGCTCTTTCTCACCTTCAAGTGCGTCTCAGCCTTCTCCTTGGTGGTGAAGACGCCGGTGGACTCGACCACAAATTGAGCGCCGGCCTCGCCCCAGGGGATCTCAGAAGGGTCCCTGCGCGGCAAAGGCACTAGATTATACGTCCGCAACGCGTTTCGAAATTGGGAAATCAATGCGTTTGCAACACTCCAGGTTCTATGTACTCTCGTTGTATGTTAATGAACATCGTTACTTTTGGTGTTCCTCGGTCCTCTCTTCAAGTGGTGGGCTTCGATGAGGGAGTCAGGAATCTCGATTTGAGGTGATCAAATTTGTTCGAGTCGCTCTATGAATGGGTATCGCTTTAGCCCCGCCAGTTTTGGGCAAGACAACCGCAAATGCTTTACAACACGTTATTACGATGATGCTCTGCATGTTGTAAGGCAGACTCCCAAGATTCTGGCGTACAATTCACAATGACAGTGATGCCTCAAACCAATAAAGCGCCACCTTTCAGTGTTCTCCATGATCGAAAACTGCTGTGTTGTACAGCATGCGCAGTTGCAAAGTACGCCGCATCTTAGATGAAGATGATTGTTGCTGGCAGTTGGCTCACTTGGACTGGTGGACTGCAATATTTTCTCCGTCCACACTGAACAGGCCGTTGGCTGCAGTGACCTCGCCCTTGTACGGGCCGTGGGTTGAATCGTACTTGAACATGTAGGCCTGTAGACACAGTGATGCAGGTTTTAGATTGAAGTCACTGCTGGTGTTCAATCAGAAGACACCAACCGAGAGGCCTCCTTTTCAGCTTCATAACGTCACATTCCTTGCCCATTTTTTGGCCTCTTCAACGTAAAAGCTGGTCATTGCAGTTGTCTTCCAGAGACAGCGAGCTGAACTTTCAGTTCTTCTTCAGCTTTTTAACCTAACACATAAGTGGCTCCTTCTGCTTAGCAAACCTGATTATATTGTGCATCTTCACTTCTAATAAAGGAGACGCTGACTCATCATACAGAAATCCTGGCTCATTAGCACAAGATCTCTGTGATCTCACCATGTAGTCAGGTGCAATGAAAGGGTCGTTAATAGCCACAACTTGGACGTCATCCCTGGCAAGTGCGGCGCGAAGGACGAGCCGACCGATCCGGCCAAATCCTGCAACACGCATTGAAGCGTTCATGAAGCAGCCAGCTGAAGCTTCTAGGAGGCCAATTTTTCTGATTGACTTGCAGAACTTTCTGCACACATTCAGTAGAACATCAAGATCACATAAAGACACATCTTGGAACCTGCTTGACAGGGAAACAGTATTCCTGAGGTACCGCTTGCACAAACTCCTAAACACTGAAGTTGGCGTCGCCAGATACTCCAAGGGAGCTCTCGACAGGACAAGTGCGATGAAGAAGAAGACATTTAAGATCCTCACCATTGATTCCGATTTTGATCTTCTCGTTGGCAGAAGGTGCAGGAGCGGCAGCTGCGACCTTAGGAACCACACTCCTGCAAAGGCAATGAATGTGAATCTAAAATCTTTGGGAGAATAAAGCGTGAATAGTCGCAGCTTCAGTCTGCTTGAACTTTGATTTTGACATGCACAATCATCGGGCTGGAGCGACCTCAGTTTGTGCAAAATCCAAAGCCAGCTGTGTCAAAAGCCATACCTTGATGACGTTTGAGTCAGGGGGGACGGATGCTTGTAGGGCACCGCAAATGCCGCAGTATCACTTAAGGACCTTGACCACGATGGGAGCGCTTTTGAGGACTGCACAGTAACCAGAGGCAAGTTAACAGCCTTGCATATGTAAGGCATAAGACAATTGTCCAAGGGCTGAATTTGGATATCACAAGATCTTGTTGACAACAAAAAGGCTATCAGATTGCTCAATGTACTGCTCCTGCACTAGATGGATGCAAAGACACACTTTTTTTGCAGACGATTCTCTGCTGGATTCAAAGGCAGCTCTGGCACATCAATACTTCTATGATAACTTTGGACCAGTGTCCTGCAAGTAATTGTCCATAATCAAGAGCTCTATTTGAGGGTGGTTGTTCCTTATACAAAGTCACAAATATTTCGGTATTATCAACCTAGAATACAGCCACAATTGGTCAGCGACTACATTGAAAAACAGACGTAAGGATCATTACCCCTTGACATGACCGTGAGACAACTGGATGTCCAACAGAGCAAAAAGCCATTATCAGCGCGACCAGATCTAAAAGGATTTGGAAGAGAGATCACTTTTCAAACAGAGTGGACGAATGCACCACCACTTAATTACAAAGACAATGTGTCTTATTCTGGTCCGAACATGGAGTAACTCTCATCTGAATAAGGCATGAAGATCAGCATGCACAGTAGGCGAAATGAGAGAATGGCCCCTTTGCACCTCAAACCAGGAAATTGAGAAGGATCAAAGCTCTGCATGGCAACAATTTTGCCAGCTCTTGATGCATCTAGACTAAAAGCTGAAGCTTTGCAATCAGCAATTGAATCGAGTAGATCTTTCACCACAACTACCTGTAGCTGTGTTCTTGAACCACAATTGTCAGATCAAAGACACGTGCTTTTCAGGTAAAGGCTCGCTACTTTCAATCAACAGCGTCTTGTGCACAGGGCTCATGCTCTCATGCAGATTGCCCACCCTCTTGACACATTCTTCCTCTCAACGTCAGACCTATCGAAGCTGATAATGCATGCTAAGTTTGAACACTTCGAGCACTACAGACCAATTCAGTTTCACTGTCGGTACTCCACCACCACCATCAGAATCTTAATACCTTTATCTTTTCCTCCCCAAGTTTGTCAATTGGACGACCTGCTCACCTCCAGGTCCTTCTTGCGCAGCATTGGCAATGCTGCATACTGACCACCCAGCCGCTGCTTCAATCCGATCTGGCAACCGAAGTGGCCCACGGACGCAGTCTGGATACATGCAGCAGCAGCCATTGCGAATTGTTCTGGCGATGCTCCCAAAGAGGTGGATTCCCACAGTTGAAGCGCTTTTCGAGAGGTGATGACAGATTTAGGAGCTGATCAGAACGTCGAATGCCAGCCGTCTGCTGTGTTCTGGACTCTGCAGAGCCAAGTTTTCCTTGTATTACTAGGGGTGACGGTGACGGATTTTAATTCCGCGGGGGGTCGGATTCGGTAGGCAAGTTTCGATGTCGCCTGCTGAAATAGACCCCCGGCAACCCGTAAATCGATCATAAGAATATTCAAAACCTGCCGTGGTCGCCGCGAACCCCAGCCAAATTGAAGTGCTCGGGGTGTGATCCTCGAAAGCCACTTCGGACCGTCCGATTTTCAGCGGGCCACGCGGACGCCGAGTCCGAGGCTGGGCCCGAGTGAAAGCCGTCCGCAAGGGAGGAGGAAGGCAGCTGCTGGAGCTCAGCAGAAGGGCTCTTCCGCAAGCTCATGACCAGAATGGCTGCCCTCCTAGCTGCCTCCCAGCGCCCCATAGAGCTTCCCTCGAGCTTCTCTCAAGCTCGGACATGTTCAAGGGATGTTTCTAGCCTTGTAGAATTGCATCCAGGGCAATCTTGCAGGCAAATGCTTCAGACAAACAGGAGAGCGCCTCTGGCTGGCAGCCATGGCGGCGGTCTCCGAGCTTCCCCTTCCTGTCCCAAGACTCTTTTGACACTCTGAAAGTTCCTAAGTGCTGGACATGGTTCTTGCAAGGTTTGCTGGCATTCACGAGTGTCAGAATGTCTTGGGCGACCAGGTAGTCGACTCCATTTCCATGGTGGACACCCGTCGCCAGCACCTTCAGTCTGCTGACCTTTTAGATCTCATGACAGAGTCCCTTTCGACGCTTCTCCATGCCGAGGAAGGTAGATAATGGTAATTAAAGACAATGTCTCCAAGGAGTTACATCCAATGGGTGTCAAACATGGAAGCTGAAGCTCTAAGCAAGTATGCCTGGTTAGGAAGCCATTGCTAGATAAGGAAGCACGACTGCCTTCCTCAACCTAGCCTCAACCAGCAACTTGACCTTCTTCCTCTTTCAGCCACGTAAGCGTTACGACTGTAACGCCCCGGGCACTCGCATCACAGCCTTAATTCAAGCTTTGCCCCTGAATATCGAAATATGTTGGCAGAATCGCAAGAAATTTTTGCCTGGGGCGCAATTATCGCCGGGGTGTTGCGCTAGAGTGAGAATCTACGCACCCGTAGACTCGGTCAACCCCCCGAAATTATTCCGTCATCCCTAGTATTACACTGACAGTGTCAGTGTACAGTCAAGTAAGTACCTAGCTTGCTTGCAGCAGCGAGTGCTTTAGGGCGATGCCCTCTCCGGCCAGCAGATTCTGCATGCATTCAACTGTAGGATAGCTCTCAGCGAGAATGGTTGTAGGAACGTTTCCCGGTTTAGCAAGCCATTACCGTAATCTCCGACACGTGTGCGAGATCCAATGGATCCTGCGGAGTCGCAGGGCAAATCAGAATCTCGGAAACAAGGCCACCCAATCATTGCCACCAGGGCGTCACGGTTGACCGGTACCTAATTGAGACGGTTCGGCCGTTGCAACTTTCGATTGTAATAATAGATTATAGTAGCCTGTAGGTATCCCAAATTGCCTCGGATATTGTTCAGCCGGGCGCGCTGGGCTGATACGCGCCGCCCATGGCAGCTCTTCGTGACTGCCGGCCGGGCCACGTAGGTACGTCGCCGCCACTGGTTGAGGTCGTGGAAACATACCACCAGGTGAAGCCGGGACCGTCTAATGTATCTACCGGCTGACATCGAGCGCCGGCCGCGGGGTGCCTTGTTGACCCGACCGGTTGAACCCGGCCGCTGTTGGCCCCGGGCTCGGATTTCGGCATGGTTGGTCAATGGTATCATGCTGGTTGCCAGCTTATGCAATTGTTCTCCAAGCACTGCTGTGGACGCCGCCCTGGGGGTGATCTCGACCGTACGGCAAACATGGCTTGCGAGCGTGCAAGCTCCCACGTAGCAAACCGCAAGATGAGAACACATGAATCCTAACTGTCAGGTAATCCGACGGATGAGGTTGGCGAATAGCCGCCAAGGACTGCCCACCATCCGTGGATTCCGTACCATCCGCCATTATTGCACCCCCCCAAACAGCCTGACCCTCAGGAGTGAGTCGGGCCCCCGGGCCCCCACCTCCGCAAATGTGGGTACCAGGATATTACCTACACCGGTGGAATTTTGGGTATCCCACCTACAGTATTCGACTGACCGGTTGTATGCCAACATGCATGAGGAATCAAGATAAACCTGGGTTAAAACCTGAACTAACCTGGGGTATCATTCACAGCTTTAATGGTAGTTATACGATGTGTTATGATACTGTAACCCTCCGCCGTACCATCGAGCCGTCCATTACCCCGTCTCTCGTATCATCGAGGGCGTACAGAAGGTAGTTGTGACTTCGTGGTTTGTGCTCCATCTGTACTGTGCGGCGTGCGGGTCTAGGTATCAAAGCTGACCGTCCTCTAAGATTTTGAATGTATCTCCATGAGCTGGCTGCTGTTGCCGTCGGCGTCGGTGTTCACCCGTGACCGGCGCCGACTGGAAATGATCGTGATTCGTTCTGAAAAGTGACCCAGCCGGGGCCAGCAACTGCCCAAGCTCACCTCTTGCAATTGGCGTGCTGCGCTAGTGACCCAGATATCGCATGATGCCATTCATGGCCATGGCTTTTCCCTCAGGCATGCTCTTCAAGTCCTTTAGTCACCGAACTTATGGTGTACAGCATTTAGCATCACTAGCCGCCAGAAGAGTTGTGCTTTTGAGTTTCAGTTGGCACTTAGAGAACATCTAGCGTTGCTGGATACACCCGCGAAGCACTTACGAGCGTGGACCTCAGGAGATCCCAAGAGGGAATAAGCTGGGAGGAGCTGGTACATGTTGAAAATGCTGAAAGGAACTATGACATGTTGACTGAATGCCGTCTTGAACTGCTGGGCGTTCTGCTAAACTGATTGAGGGTTTTAAGAGAGGTTCTGAACATGGCTGATTGAAGGAGCGCCCAAACGCCTCGGCCCTCGAAGGAAATCGCAGGGTTGTCACAATGGCGGCGCAAGTTAGTCACAGATGGACTCTGTTCTGGGCGCTGCTGCTCGGTGCCTTAGTAAATGTGGTGCGGGCAGAGACGAACAGGAAGCTGCTGGGCGCTGCAGGGGTCGCGGCGGACACCTGTCATTGCGAGAAGGTGAGGAGTGCAATGATCATGCAGCGACCCTGGCAAATCTCTCCCAGCTTGAAGGCACAGGCTGATGGAGAGCTCTTAAGAGAAGCGACCCAAGTTTCCACAATAGCTGACCCGGGACGCGCTCAACAGAGCATTCTCGAGTTCATTCTGAGGTCCATCAGCTACGATTGAAATGTCTCGGATGTCAGGTGTGTGGCGCCATGGCAAAACGTTGAGAAGCAGCACCTGCTTCAAACCTTCCTTACGGACAGATAGTTTGAGGATGTAGGGCTTGTTTACCATCTTTACGCCGATCAGCTGGTTCGAACTCCTGACATCAGAACGTCCACCCAAGATTCTGCTGAAGCTACACTTGTAAGATCAGGTGTATTTCAAGGCGTTGTTGTTGGCGGCCAGTGATTGTCTAGCAGTCCGCTGACAAACTCTGGGGCTCAAGAGGCGTGGCCTTGACACATATATTGCCGCTGCACTGCCCATCGGATGCGCCCCTTGGTCTACCAGAGTTTCTGGTTGTTCCCTCATTGAGACGTGCTCTCCATTTGATCAATGGGCAAAGCCCACCTTTCGAACAGCCATTAGGGTTCTGGATTCATGAATCTGTCCGTCATGAGGTCACTAGCAGGCGGTTACTGGCAGAGAGGCTTGTCACATGGCATTAGCTTACATGACTTTGTTATTGGAAGGCAAGGGTTCGACGCTTGTGCAAGCGTAGAACTCAAGAGTTTGGTGGTCTCGATGTAGGAAACAAGTTTTTAGGAGGAATGGGGTTCTTGTCGCTTGCTTCTCAAGGCAAGCAGGGTGCCTCTGTGCAGAGTCTTTCTTGGCCGCCCTTGCAATGTTGCTTCTGGCCGTATGTGTCGCACCTCTGGATGTAGACACTGGGGTGTCATCTGCGTTCCAATGCCCTCCACATATTCAGAGAGCCGTTTGGATGCAAAAGGCTAGTGGATTCATCATCTTGCTGGTGAAGGGTAAAGTTGCATTCACCTGGGACTTCCTGGCGTTTCTTTGTTTTGAGCGATGTGCAGGCTTGTCTGCTCGGTGTTCGACGCTTTTTTACAAAGTCAGTTCATTGTTGATTTGGAAGAACACCGTCTCTTTGAACTTGCTTTTCTGGGAAGTGAAGTCATTTGAGATTGAGAGCCGCAAGACTGTGGGAAGGACCGGAGTTTGTTTCTCTGAAGGGAAGCTTGCTGCCAGGATGGGGCAGCATTCCCTTTTTGATTCCCCTTCGTGTTGTGCGTTTTGGTAGTTTATGCGGAGGTGGTGGTGCATTGTTTCAGAGGATTTCAATTTCAGAGGCCCAGTGTTTGGTTCAAAAAGGTGCCCTTGAATGCAGCGCCACTGTTTTCGGCCCAGTTGTTTACCCTGGGCTCCAGCAATTTAGGTCAGCTCGAGGTGACGCTTACTCCTATTCAGTGCGTCCACTGCCGGTATTTAAATTGCCCCGTGTCTGAGAGAAGTGGCTTTGTCAGGCTGCTCTCCGGCACAGGCTCTGCATACGTTTTAGATTAATCTTGGTGAAGACGACAAGGGGTTGGTACATCAACAGGCTCGCCCTGTATGCTCTCTTTTGTGCTGAGCAACGCTTTCCTGCTAGGCAAGGCTTCCTGCACATACCAGCCTTAAATCATCTAACTTTTGCACAGTCTAGCTGGGTAATCCGAAGATCCTAACGGATTCGACCCATGATACAAAACTGAGGGGAGAAAGAACTGCCCTGCCTCTGCAGCGCCCAATGTCATCTGCTCGTGTTGGTTCCATAGCTACATTGCTTTCTGGCGCCCTTACTCTCCGACCCCTGGTCTGTGCAATCCCAAACCCCCTTATAAGCATACCCGGGGTTTGAAAATGTTCCAAGTCTCCGTTCCTTACGACCTTTTGCCTCTGTCCAAGCCCTATCCTTATGCCCCTCGCTTCTCAAAGCTTATCCCCTCAAACGAATCCCCTCTCCACATTACGCAGGTGTACTGGGCCATCGACGACAGCTTTGCCAGGTGGCAGCTCGTGAGCGACTTCTTCATCGCCGTGGCCTACTTCTCGATCCCGGTGGAGCTCATCTACTTCGTGCACAAGAGCCAGGTGTTCCCGTTCAAGTGGATCCTCTGGCAGTTCGGCGCGTTCATCATCCTGTGCGGCCTCACTCATCGTGAGTCGTTACTTTAGGTGCTTTAGGGTCTTGCATTATGTGGACCGGGGCTCTTGAGGGCTGGGAATTCAAAGGGACCTTTGAGGGAGTCCTCCATCAGCCTCGGCATATTTGCCGAGCTAGAGCCCCAGGGCAAACCTATGGGGGACGTTTTGCAAAAGTTCGCGGTTGTACGAGCTTTTGGGGCGTGGTCTTTCAGCACACAAGGAGGTTCGGGGCAGCACCTGGCGAGTCCAGTACTTCCCATCCCAGCACCTTAGCGCTTGACGCTTTGGAGTTGAAAGAAGCGCCTTCTTCATCCACTGCGGCCCCCTTCACCATGTCAGGGCAGTAGTCTTAGAGTAGCTTAGGCCTCGTTTTGTGGGTCCTACGTGTCAGTGTCTCAGTCTTATTTTCATAAGCGGAGGCTAAATCAATCGATTAGAGGAGCGGACATGCTGAAGGCCTAGTTTTTGAGCAACGCAAGCCCCTTCCTGCAACAATCAGGCACTGACGCCGAACGAGCAACGCCGATGCGACGGGGAAGCGGGCCGTGCAACATACCAAACCCGAATCTTCTTCGACTGCAGTCATTGCAATGTTCTGCTACGGTCCCCACAGCTACACCATCATGCTGGTTCAGACGACCGCGAAGGCGCTCACCGCTTTCGTGTCGTGCGCCACGGGCGTGACGCTCATATACGTCATCCCGGAGCTGCTGTCACTGAAAGTGCGCGAGCTGTTTCTGCGGACGAAGGCCGCCGAGTTGGACCGCGAGATGGGCATCATTCGGACGCAGGAGGAGGCGAACCGGAGCGTGCGCATGCTGACGCACGAGATCAGGTGGGGGGGTGACACGTGGCTGCAATTGTGTCGATTGTGCAGGGAGGGACAGACGTAGTTTGCCCGAATTGGAGGAGGTCTTATTGATGGATCTCTGCCAGAGGCCGAAAAAGAGCGCGGTCATGGTTTGCAAGGTTGTCAGAGGAAATGTATTCGTTCATAGCAAGGTGCGAAAGGGCTTTAGATAGGATTCTCGACGAATTTGGAGTGGGGCATTCGGGGTTGCAAATTCGAACACTGTAACGGACGGCTGTATCTAGGCACTTCAATTCTAGACATTCGAAGGTTCTGCAGAGGACAGCTTCTCAGTACTCGTTAGCTTAAGGTACCATCTTTCGCCCGTCGTGTGCAAAGTATTTTCTCGCCCCTACACGATTCAACTTTCTCCATTATCGATGGGCGTCTCGCCCCTACACGATTCAACTTTCTCCATTATCGTTGGGCCTGCTCGGCCTACACGGCATTCTCAAAGGAACTGCGGGAACGTCCTTGTAGACGATTGCTTGAGAAGAGGGGAACGACCCCAGATTCAATGTAAACGAAGGTGATCATAAGATCTTCACCGAACTTTCGGCTCTTTTCTCCCAGGTCGACCCTGGACCGGCACACCATTCTGCGCACCACTCTAGTTGAGCTGGCGCGCACGCTGGGCCTGGAGAACTGCACCATCTGGATGCCCAGCTGCAACGGCCGCATGCTGGAGCTCACGCACGAGCTCGAGCGCCGCCTCGTGAACGTGCCCACTCTAGTTTCCGTCACCGACCCCACGGTCCTGCAGGTGGTCAACACGCGGAGCGCGATCACGGTGCCGGCGAGCAGCGCGATCGGGGTGGCGAGCAGCAGGAAGGGCGTGCAGGGACAGGTGAGGGGCTGGAGACACTGCGGGAGTGGAGTGGCGGTCAGCGAAGCTTGAAACGGGCACACAAGTGGATGGATGGGGTCTGATCCAATAGGCGAGCTTCAGTTGGATCCGTTCTGGGTAGCGAAGATGTAGCATATGGGGCACCGAGTCTTGATTGAAGTGGGTTGCCAAGCCGAAGCTCCAACTTTCACGTTCTGGGTAATAATTGGACCAGCGGTCGATGGCTGGTGATTGCGTACTTCGATTTTGATTAAATCGAAGTAGTCCTGGTGGCCCAAGGACTACTTTGGGCCACCGCTACGTGTTTGCCCATGCAGCAGAGCAAAATACGGTGCAAGATGCGCGCGCTCAATGTGAACATATAATCCCGTCGGGCAACAATTTCTGCTACAGCGGGGTCGGCTGCGTCCCACTCACGCCGCCATCAGCCATCGCTTTCTCTATCCATCAACGTTGACTTCCTGACGGAGGCCCCTCCTCTTGTCTCGCCGTCCGTCCTGGCCATCGTTGACAACTGTCAAGCTCATTCTTCTAACCGTTCCACTTTCCGCAGGACCTTGCCCCTGTTGCCGCCGTGCGCCTCCCCCTCCTCGAACTCGCCCACTTCAACGGCGAGGGACACTTCGCAGCCCAAGAAGAATCCTTCGCGCTCATGGTGCTGGTCCTCCCGAGCACGAGCGCCCGCGTGTGGCGACCACACGAACTAGAGATGGTGGAGTGTGTCGCCGACCAGGTGGCCGTCGCGCTGAGCCACGCGGCCGTGCTCGAGGAGAGCCAGCGAGCGCGGCAGAAGCTGGTGGAGCAGAACGCGGCGCTAGATGCGGCGCGGCGGGAGGCGGAGTCGGCGATCCGGGCGCGGAACGACTTTCTGGCGGTGGGTGTTTAGTTCGAGTTTGCATTGCTGGCTTCCAGCCACGGCTGAGATCTACAAATCAGAATCTGATTGAATCCATTTGCGGACACGGTCGTTGATAAAATGGCGTCCTGACTGTTTGTAGGAGGTGCAAAGGAGAGCTGCCCTTGCACATCGGACAGTGGGGGTATCAAAGTGTTGTTGCCTCGCTCGGTCGCCCTCCCTCCGTTTGTAGATTTTGAGCCGGATGATTGGCGAGCGTGTTTGTTACTCCGTCTAGATCCTGTTGGGCTGTATGACCGGGAGTCTGGATTGTTTGTCAGCCCAGCGCTTTTCCCTGGGACTTATCTCTATCATGGCCGTCTTCAGCACAGATACCATTCTTCAGGATTGGCGAGTTCCGACACTTTGCAACCCATTTTTCCTCCCAGGTGATGAACCACGAGATGCGCACGCCGATGCACGCGGTGATCGCGCTCTCGTCGCTGCTGAACGAGACGGAGCTGAGCGAGGAGCAGCGCAGCATGGTGGACACCGTCGTCAAGAGCGGCACCGTCCTCTCCACGCTCATCAACGATGTCCTCGACTTCTCGCGCCTCGAGGACGGCAGGTGCGCGCGCGCTCTCCAGCGGCTCTTTCTGTTGGGCTGTTTTCTTGCTCTTGGTGAAGGATAAGTCGCCTCGAAGACCGGCACTTGCGCCGCCTTTCTGGCGGCCCCTTGTTTGTTGAGCTCTTTACTGCTCTTTGTTCGGTTGTCCCGCCTCGAGGGCGGCAGGTGCGCGCTCGCTTTTTGGTTGGGCTGATTCCTTCCTGGCGCCAGAGCTAGCAGTCTCGAGGCCCGCAACTGCGCGATTGCGCTGCTTTTGGGCTGGCTCCTAACCAAAAAGTTTAGCACGCACGGCCTTTGCGGAACCAGAATTGAAGGAGTCCTGGCGCGCAACCCGTCGACACATAGAGTAAGTCGCAAATAATCCCCAACTTTACTCGCTTTGCAGTCTGGCCCTCGACCCTCGGCCGTTTGAGCTGCACACCGTGTTGCGAGAGGCGGAAAACTTAGCGGGCCCGATGGCGCGAGCGAAGAACCTCAACCTGAGCGTGCACATAGACAAGGACGTGCCGGCATGCGTGGTGGGTGATGACAAGCGGCTGCTGCAGACGCTGCTCAACCTAGTTGGGAACGGGGTGAGTGAAACGGATTGGATTTGAGAGTGTTCAAACCATCTGATCACAGCTATAGGAACATTGGGTCAATGATAAGCGGCCGCTCCAGACGCTGCTCGACCTAGTTGGGAACGGGGTGAGTACGACGGGTTCTCCTACGAGTGCTTTGACCATCCGAACAGACAGAAAGGACTGTTGGGACAATGAATGATAAGGGGGTGCTGCAGATGTCTCTCATCCTGGTTGGAAACGGGGCGCGTACGGCGCGTTCACCTAGGTCTCCAAGAAGGCCGGTGAGGATATCAAGAGTTGGGTCAACTTCAAAGAAATCTTCCGATGATGTGTGGTTGACCTTTTCCTCGTTTCACTTGGTCCCCTTTCCACAGCTTTTGATGAGAACGTACCGTGAAGTGGCCTCCGCTGAAGCCCGTCCTTTGGTCGATTTGACCAGGCGGCCCTGACTAGTTCCTCAACCGCTCGCTGGGTCTACGGAGAAGGGCTCCGTGCGCTCGAACGTCTCGGTGGAACACCCTGGGCGGAACCCGCCCCAGTAAGAACTTGGCGAATCTGCCCTAAGTTGCCCTCAACTGTATCCAACCGCAGGTCAAAACCACTGAAAAGGGCTAAGTGCGCTCAGATGCCTCGGTAGAACGTCCTGGGCAAGAAGCCGACCCACATTGTCAATCTGACGATACGTTCCTCAACTGCAGGTTAAGTTCACGGAGAAGGGTTCGGTGCGTTTAAGTATCTCGGTGGAACGACCCGGGCGGAAACGGGATTTAATGGTCAATCTGACAAATTTAACCGAAGTCGCCCTCAAAACCCGTTCCTTAACTGCAGGTCAAATTTACGGAAAAGGGTTCGGTGCGTCTAAGCGTCTCGGTAGAGCGCCCCGGGCGAAAACCGGACCCGGGGGAGCCCGCATGGCAACCACGGCACGAGGGGGGCAGCATTTACGTACGCATAAGCGTGCAGGATACGGGGCTGGGGATCCGGCCATCGGATATCCCCAAGCTCTTCAAAAAGTTCGTGCAAGCGGATAGTACCACGACGCGCAACTACGGGGGCACGGGGCTGGGGCTCGCGATTTGTCAGAAGTTTGTCGAGGTACGTGCTTCGTTGACGACAGGTCTTGTTTGAGTTGTTGGCACTTGTCAAGTCGGCGCGAGGTTCTCAGCTGTCCGTGATGCTCGCTAGGGGGGTCTGTCGGGCTTCTCTTGGTCATACTAAGCCTTGGGCTTTGTCTTTCCTTACTGCGACAGTGTCAACTCCTTACATGTCCTGAATTAGATGCAAGTCTGTTCTTGGTTTCCCTCGTTTCGGCAAATTTCTTTTTCTGTACGCCTCATGTTGCTTCTGAAACCCTCTTTGCTTTGAAGAAGCCACATTTTCGGCCGGATAAACGCCTCCCGTCATACATCGCTTCCACATGTTGCAAGGGCATGTGTCACGGCTCCATATCCTATCACCTGCATCTATTCGACCCAGCGATCCTGTCGTTTTCCCAGTTGATGCAAGGCCAGATATGGATACGGAGCGACGGCATCGGAAAGGGCGCCACGACGACCATGGTTGTGCGCCTCGGGTTGCAGCCGCTAAGTCCGCTGGTGGCCAACACTAGTGGGGAGCGCGCGAGCACGACCGCACACGAGGCGGCCGCGCTGGTCGGGTTGCGGGTGAGCGCTCTCAAAATATCCGAGGCCGCGGGACGGACGCTCCGGAAAAGTTTCGCGACAGACAAGCAAGTCAAAACCGCGCAGAATTTCGAACCCACGTCGGGGTTCGTGGATTAGTCATCTTCTGTACTCCTGGCAAAGCGTAGTTTATCTTCGAGGCAACGATCTTCACATGTGACACTGACCCTTGCTGCGAGGTCGTGGTAGTAGACGAGATAATGTCAATTGGCATTGTGACAAAGCGACTGCCAAAAATGCCTCACAAGTCTATAAGCAAAGACTACTTCATGCCCTGGCAGTCCGCCCCAAGTCACAAACGCGCTCCTGTCGCTGCAGGAATTGGTAACGGACGACAAGTCCAAGCACCGCAGCATTTCGAAGCCGCTGCTGCACAACCCTTGTCCCGACTTGTTCTAAGAGCAGACTCTTCATTATCCGGCCACTGTCCCTGTCAGAATCACGAATCAGACCCGCGACTTCTTCGCAGATACTGGTGACGGACGACAACTCGGTGAACCGCATCGTGACGCGGCGGCTGCTGGACAAGCTAGGGTGCAAGACGACGCTGGCGGAATCCGGCGAGCGGTGCCTCACGGAACTGGCCAAGCCGGGGGCGGACTTCCAGATCCTGTTCCTAGACCTGTGCATGCCAATCATGGACGGCTACACGGTGGGCGCACTCCCCTCGCTCCAAATGACATCTGATGTTTCCTTCTAACCTGAATGTTCGGAGCCTACTTTCTTGAGGCACTTCGTCTCTGTTCTCCGCATGCAATCCACATTGCCTTTTTTCAGTGTGCGGGTTTCCGGAACGTTTGTCGTTCTTCCGGAACGGGTGAGCCGAATCTTTGCGAGCTTTAAACGGTGACTATCCGCTCTTTTGGCGATATCTGATCGCGTCCAACTAAGCGAACGCTTGACTTTCATCAACCGATTGAATTCAAAATAGTCCTCAAACTTCGCAGGAATGGGTGCGGCCTGGCAGTCGCAAAGCCTTATCAAAGGCAACCTGTGTTTCCTATATCCGTTAATTGGCTGTCTCTACGCTCATGCATCTCCGTAGGTCAATGAGCGGATACGCGAGCGCTACCCGCCCGGCAAGCGGCCGCTCATCATAGCGCTGACGGCCAACACGGACAAGAAGACGCGCGACCAATGCCTGCACCAGGGGATGGACGGAATCGTCCTCAAGCCCATCACGCTCAATGAGTTGCGTGACGTCATGTGCGCTCTGTTTGCGAACTCCGCGGGTTTCACGCGGTTACCGGCCGAAGGGTACGGGTTCAAGAACATTTAGTGGGGACAGTCAAAACGCATGGTTGGAAAACGCGGATCAAACACACATTTACTGGTACGGTCGTTGCTTCCGTGCAAAGTTCGTGCGGGTGCATCAACCGATCAGAGAAGGAATAAGAGGGTGTGAGCAACACGATTCCGGTGTGCGTTCTCCAATTGTTTTCTTCAGTCAAGTGGCCGCCGGCGCGCGCGCCTTGCTTAGAACTCGCGGCGGCGCTCGCCGCTAGGTGTTTTCTTGTTTCGAGGACTGAGGGTAGGCGGGTGTGGGAGTGCGGGGCTCGAAAGTTGGGTGGAAGTGTTGTGAATTCGAAGCATGCAAAGAACCGTAGAAGTCGGATACGAGTCACGTGATCAGCCTTCAAACGTAGAAGCGACGAGCATATAGAGGATATTTGGCACAAAGACACGCTTGGATCCAAACAACTGCGACGTCGAACAGATTGGCTGGAACATTAAGCTAGAGCTAGGCATACGAGATCCTCGGATCCGAACACAGCGTATGACTACGCTCTTGTGTCAAGCTCCAAAGGCGACGAGACTTTTGCTAGTTGTACACAGAGATTGACTGTAGAATACGGTAATTGATTTGTCATGCGCAGGAGATTAGCTAGTCAAGATAGTCAGGCGGCATAATACTCTGAAAGGCCTTCGTCTCAACATCGGAGTCAAGATGTGATAGACGTGACCGGTGCGTGCGACTTGACGAAAGACTCGTTCTGCAATCGCCTAGTAGGATGAAGATGCGAACTTAGCTGCCAGGAAACGAGTGTAAAGACTACTGGATTGGCGCATTTTCAAGAAGTCACATGCTGGCGCGTGTGCTGGCATGATTTCTCTATGACAGCTTCGATCATTTAAGGATGCTTAGTGTGCATTCTGCACCTGCTGGGCTGGCTGGCATCGGCTGCATGATCATGATCATGGGCTAGCTATGCTTGTTCTTAGTTCATTCATTGAAATGGCACGGATCTTCAATATCGAGCTAGCCGCCGATCTGCAATTTAAGTTGCAACCGTTGGACCGTCGCGGTCACGTGCATGGAAACATCAATGGCAAGTCGCGATCACATCATGGTTTATCATCTGTCACTGCATCATGCATGTCGTACCTTACTGGCTATGTGGGATCCGTCTATAACCAACACCGTACAGACGACTTTGTCGGCTCCGTCCTGAAGCCCTTGCAGAAAATTATGAAGTTGCAAGACAGCAAACTTTTGGAAGTGCACCTCTTCCGAGCTTCGTCCAAGAGCTCAGCTAGCAACTTGGCATGCACGGAGGCACTGCAATCTTAGCTTGCGAGCTTGGTCGCAAATCGCCGCAATTTGCTGCAAATCATAACCTGGCCCGAACTCGCTCAGCAACTCAGGCGGCAACCTTCATGTTTGCTTGATAATCTCATTCTGCTCGGCCAGCTTTTGCTTAAGCATTTAGGTACACAAGCTCGTAAAGAATTAGACGCATCTGTTATTCCTCGATTGTCCCAGCCTTCACTCGGACTCGATGATTTCCGTTTGCTCGGCCAGCTTATGCGTGTTGGTTATGTACACTGGCTCGTGAAGGACCAGACTCATCTGTTGCTCCTCAACCGCCAATCGTCGTCTATTAACGTTTCCAGAAGCGACGTGCCGGTCACCAGCTTCGTCGTAGCGACCAAGAAGTCGTGTTTTGAATCCTCCTGCAAAAGGAATGAACTCGGGTCGGTTTCTAAAAGTGAGCCTCATGACGAACTGCGAAATGAATTACCCCCTCAAAGAATGATGGAGACAAGCAAATGTCACCCCTTGACATCTTGGCATGTTCGACACTACGTATGCAGTTCAATTGAGGACTCTTTGACGCATTCACAAAGCAGCATCTTCCGCAAAGCGGGCGAGCAATCAGTGCACATGCGGTCTAACAAGATGACCAGAGCTCCTGCGACATTCCACGACTTCACTGCTCGCCAGTGCCTGAACACGGATCCCAAGATTGTCCAATTCTGAAGCAATCTCATGCTCAGCAAACGGTGCGCTGCTAAAAGGCCGTTGCTCGCAAATCCGACCGCTCACCTGTCCGCTCAGAAAGCGCAGCACGGAGGTCTCCGCTGACGTCACCCCGCCCAAGAAGACCACGAGCACGAGCGACCGCTGACCGTCGGGCCTGCACGGCGAAGAGAAAGAGATCCGCTCCTAGTCCTTATTTAGAGAGGCCAGATGGCAGTGTGTCTGAAGACGCACCCGCTGGGAGGATTCATTGAAGAAGCAGAAAGCCAAGCGTGCGGCATACAGCGTCTCGCACTGCAAAGCGCGGTTTTCAGGCTGGGAGGCGCGTTATCTTAAGTCGCTGTGGTCGAGAGATCGCCCGGGGCCCGTTTGGGGAGCTCGGTTCGATCGTTCTGACGTGGACCAGTGGGGTGCCGCCACGTGGCATTAATGAGAGGGGCCGTAGCTCACCTGTCTCCGCTGACGCTCTGGCCTTCGTGCTCCACCGGCGTTCCGTCTGCGTCTAGCGCCTGAAGGAAAGGCAAACAGGTGTGAGGGACTATCAGCATTATATACGTTGCGCTGCAAAGACCGAGCAGAGCTCAATATTGTTCTATTGTGCCCACCAAGGTCGTTGGACGTTACAAGCGTTTTGCAGAATGCCAGAGCCTCCTCAGCCTTTCCTAAGTACCAGGACGCAAAGCTTGACTGAACGAACGCAAGCCTCGCTGATCCGAGCACCCTCCTGCAGCATTCATCTCTCCTAGATACTCTCTTCTACTCAAACATCCTCCTCCGGTCTCCTCTCTCTCGCTCTCTCGTTTTCGCGTCACTTTTGCAACTGGGATCTGCAACTCTCCGTCCGAAGCCCACCAGCATAAATCAGCCGAAACTAGCGCGGGTTCGAGCAACCTACCTGTATCTTTTCGAAGTGTGGCCCGGGTAACGATCTGAGGAGCTCATCCATACTTTTCCTGTGACGGGCGACGCGCTTTTAGTTGATACGGACAACGAACCCTTCGCTTGCCCTTTTAGGCTGAAAGGAGCCCGTCAATGATACATCAGGTGACCTTACAGACGCTCGCAGGGCGGCAATCGGAGAAAATGCTCTAGCGCTCAAGAGCCTAGTAGGTAGTGCTGGGATGGTCACAGAAAGGCCAGCGATGCGGGTTCTGGGTGTCAGACCTGACGTTCCAGGAGCTTTTGAATCTGAAGGAGGGAGAAAGCGGGCAGTCGATAGCTCACCACCTATCTTGTAGCGCCTGTTGGATGAGCCGTATGCTGAGGGGCGCGTACCCCGAAAACGTGTACGAAATGTCCGTGGGACTGCAAAGCCTCAGCGAACCTATTACTCCGACAGGTCCAAGTTGACATGAAGCGTTGTATGTGCTGGAAACTCACGAAAGAGCGCATCAGGAAAAGAACTCGTTGCTGACGCTTTCTAAATGGAAGTGGAATGTTGGTAAAATCACCTTGATCGGTCAAAACTTGTCTTCTTGCACTGTGCATGCCAAGTTCAACAGGATAAACACAGAAGGTAGTGCAGCATTATAACATGGTCCACATCTGATCGTTTCGGACGCAATCGCAAAATCCTTACTTGGAATCGTCCTGGCCCTCGACCACCAATTTCAGAGTGCGCCGAACGGCGGGGTAGGTGTTCGATCCATCCTGCACAACGGAACACGGGACGGAAGGACTGAGCTGATGACTCAAAGACGCAATTCGGCGACAGCTTCCGTCTCAAGATATGCAGAGCGGTCGCCTCTACCCTTCGCTGGCTGCACCTTGAGGATAGCCCGACCTCGACAAAGAGTTGATAGGAGATGGCAAAACGCACCAGCTGTCAGCGCATGTGGTGAGGCGACTCTATGTCACTCTCTGTTTCAGCTTTGGAGACTCAGAATCCCTACAAGACTCGAAGTCCTTCATCTCAATAAGCAAGATCTGCCCTTCTTTACTTAGCCAGCTGTGGGCTCACATGTCTTCGCAGCAGGCCCGCCTTTTCCAGGTTGTTCAAGGTGAAAGTGTACTCGAAGCCGTGACTCTGCAGGCGATACTGCAGTGTACTCGAAGCCGTAGCTCTGCAGGCAATCGGTCTGGCGAACCGTCGGATCCGGACCCCACTTCCGATGTGTGGCCGTCCGCGGGCCCCATCTCTGGTACTTGGCCGCCCGTGGCCCCCTTGTCCGATGCGCAGCCGTAGGTGGCCCCCATGTCTTGTACGCTGCTGGCTGTGGTCCCCCGGTCCAGTGCGTGGCCGTCCGCAACCCCCCTTCCTGATGACCCATTCCGGGCTGTGCGGCCGTCCGCAGCTCCCCCTTTTGCTATGCAGCCTTACGCGGCCCCCATGCCAAATGCGCAGCCGTCTGTAGGCCTCCCTCTCCGATGCACGGCCGTCCGCATCCCCCCTCTCGGAAGACCGCTGTCCGCTGCCACTTCTCCCGGTGCGCCGCCGTCCGTGGCCTCTCCTTCCAGTGCACAGTTGTCCGCAACTCCTTCTTCGGATGCGCGGTCGCTCGTGGCCGCGTTTGGTGCGTCCCTGTCCGCGGCTCCACCGTCTGGTGCACACGGCTGTCTGCATATGCCCCTGCCTGCGCGCCACCGGTCCGCCGCTCCCCTGTCCGTTGTAAAGCTGTCCGCGGGATGCCCCCGCTGACACGTCGCTGTCCGCAATCCGGTGCACGGCTGTCCGCGAATGCCCCCGCTGGCGCGTTTCTGTCCGCAACTCCCTCGTCCAATGTGGGGCTGCTCGCGGACGCCCCCGCCGGTGCGTAGCTATCCGCAAATCCCCCGTCCGCTCCGCGGCTGTCCGCGGACGTCCTCTCCGGTGCGGGGTTGCCCGCGGCTCCCCTGCCCGGGGCTCGGCGGTCCGCGGACGCCCACGGTGTCCGGCTGGCTGCAGCTCCCTCGTCCGGTGCTCGGCTCTCAACAACCATCCCCGCGCCAACTGCCCAAGTTTTCCTTCACTATCAAATGCACCCCTCCTTCCGCCCTTGCCAAAGTGTAACCCCCTAAATCTTCCTGTCCCACGGTCTTGCGGGTTTGCCAACGGAACTCTTGACGCACCCCCCTTCCCAACACGACCAAACCCCCCCGCCGCCCCCCGCCCGGCAGAGCCACCAACCCCCCCCCAACTTCTAAAACCACCTGCACAGAATTCAGCAACTCACTCCAAGATGCAGATTTTCGGGCCGAATGCTGATAGGAGGCCGTTTATTTGTGGAAATTGGATCCTGCTATTGACGAACCTCTCTAATGCATAACACCTAACAGCAAACGTGAGGCAGCTGGCAGTCCAAAATGGCGGTCCGCCTCAGACCTTATTCAAGCGCACTATTCGAGAACAAGTTTGTTGGTTGGTGATGTAACTTACTCGACATGTGCACACGTGTCATTCGAATCCTTGTTACAATCTGCTAAATATCCAGAAGAACCTAGAACTTTTAGAAACAAAATCAAACAGTTTTAGCATGCCGTTCTGAAGGGGAAAAAATGTTTTCCGAAAAGGTGAATGGTCCTGTCCCTCAAGAAGACCACGTCAAACCGCTCACCTCAACAGTCTCATTGAATGCCCGCCTTCTTAAGCTTTTCAAGCAGCTCGTCCCGTTCTCGATTCAGCCGCTCGTCATCTTCTTCATCTCCTCCTTGAGGCGCAACTTCTCGTGGTCGATATTGTCCATCTTGTCCACCACCTCCCCAGCCCGCGAGTGGTGATACACGTGAAACAGCCGGGAGATGTCTTCCCACGCCTAGCATAATAGGTAGGAAAAAACGTTTCTGGATCCGACGACGTGGGAAACTCAAGAGTAAGTCTCGTTTCTAGCACGCCTCTTCTACATGGACGTGGAGAGAAATATATGTCAAAACACAACAAGGACACGAACCAGCACAAACGTTGTCCCGCCCCTGACCCACTCGTTCATAAGTATGCTAGCTGTGCTTAAATTGTTTACAACGTTGATTGTGGTCTGCCAATGAGTTTCCACTAGTGCAATGCCCAAGAGTCACGGGCGAGGTCATGTTCACACATGGATAAGGTCACATGCTGACAGAACATCATGCACTCTTATCAACGAAATCCGTCAATTGCGAGCTGTGTCTATCTTATCTGAGGTTATTTGAACGACGTATATTACAGGATTCTACCAGATTCTTACCATTCAGCACGCCGGTCCGCAACAGGCCTCGTCCATAGGAAGTTGTTGAACAAAAGATACTGCTCACCTTACGTGGCTCCTTTTGCATGGACGGGATAAGGAGGTAGCAGACATGGCTCATCAGCTCCCGCGCATCCGAGTGCATCTCCTTCGTCTTGAGGTCGTACAATTGGTACGGTCCGGCAGTCGCAACCTCCACCTTCCAGGCCCCTTGTGCGTCCTTCTCGACCAAGGTGAAATTGACGATGAACCACAATTTGAAGTTGCTGAGAATACCAAAGGCCGACACCCCTTCATGTTGTCTCGCAACCTGGCGACGTGCTCGATGATCGCACACATCTGCAAACAAAACAACGGATCCATCATTCACGATAGCACATGCCATGAATCCACCGGATGCACCTTAGATACACGATCTAAGGTTGCAACCATCCTAGGGGCTCTTGATGCTCAACATTTCAATATCTATAATGGATCCTAGCAGGCTGAGCAACATACAAGCCTTTCTGAATCAAGCACTACAACAAGCCTGTCCCCACTATGAACAAGCCTTTCAGAAGCAAGCGGTAGAAGGATTGTGCTCTAAAATTTGAAGATAACATACAGGACAGAATCCAGAAACAAACGGTACAGTAGATGTGTTTGAAGCGAGCGGTAAGAAAGAACTACTATGTATGGAAGAACCGCGTCCCGAACTTTAAAGGTGCCTGGACTAAGAAATAGCAAAGATGCAAGAGCACTCACCTCGGCGACGAGTTGTGGCAGCGCCTTGAGGAAGTCCCTGTCAGAGAGCTTGGCCTGAAGCACACCTAGGAGCGCCATGACCGGAAGGACAGTGAGGAATGTAAGCTCCACTGGGCCATGGCTCATCGACCCACTCAACCACCCTTCAAACCAGAGCTTCAGCACCCTCTCCTCCTCTACCCTTTCCTCCTCTGCCACACGCTCAGTTTCAGAGCGTCCTTCCATGGGCTCAGCCGCAATGTTCTCTTCAAGTCCCTCCCCCTCTCCTTCATCCCCCTCCTCAGCATTCCCCCCTTCTGCTCCCTCCTCAGCATCTTCCTCATAGGCTGTTACAGCGCGCTTTTGTACTCATTTTCGACTTGCTCTTCGACCGCTTGGGCAGTAGTTTCTGCTGTAGCCGATGCCAGCCGGAGCCTTCTCTCTCGATCACAGGCCATTAGAGGCTCGAAGAAGTTTAGGAAAAGGTAATAGAGCTCCTTCTCAGCCTTCCCAGGAATAAAGCTTAAGGATATCGCCTTCTCAACGCTCGGCCAGACAATCTCTCTTAGCAGAAATTCGAGAGTGTCATCCTGAAGGGGCTCACACGACAGCACGCCAACATTTGTTGGCAAAGGAGACAGCACGGACGTTGTGGTCTGGCCGGCCATCAAGGCCCTTATGGCTGTCAATGGCTGCTCCTCTCGCACGTCGTAGTGGGTCAACCGCAAAACCGTCAACAGCCAGCTCACTATGTCTCCGAGTTCTACACCATAGTGGCGGCGGATAGCCTCGGCAGTAACCGAGCTGTGGCCGACCGTCTTCCCCATCCCCCGGCACAAATGCAGCAACTGACTGAAGATATCCTTCAAGATCCGACGGGGACCGGCGCTACTCAAGCATTGCTCAAAAATGGCCTTTGAAGGGCTGTCCGGGGTCCTGGGCGACCTACAGGCAAGGAGTAAGACGGGGAGTCGATCTTGTGGCCAATCGTGGGCGGATCAGCCTCCCCGAAAGAAAGCCGGCGAGGAAGAACAGGGACTTGTTGTTCGAACCCATCACCTATCGTCTCCAACAGCCCCCTGAATTGGCCAAGGAGCTTCGACATGGCGTCATCGCCCTTCAGGACTGAGAGAACGCTAGGATCCCCATCAATGGCATTTCTTACTAGTAGATCCGCCAGCCGATCTACTTGCTCTTGCTCATCCTTCTCCTTCCTCGCTGCAGCTCTCTCAGCAGCCTTTGCTGCTTTAAGTGCTGCTTCTTCAGGACCGATGGCCTTTGGGCAAGCCAACTTGTTGTGCCCCGTCGCACCGCAGCTACTACAGGTTGGAGCTTTCCTTTTGCTTCCACTTGAAGCCTTCATCCCGCCAAACAGCTACGGTACTGCCCTTGGTTATCTTGTTCGTTCCTTTTTCATGGAGTCAGACGCCTGTGATTCGTGAAGAAAGCTCCCGCACAGTCCACAAATTGAATGAGCCTGAGCAACTGGCAACTGCCATGGCAAAAGCTGTCTCAGACTCTCCTTGGGGCATACAGTTCGCCATCGTTGATTTGGGCCGCGTGTCAAAGACACCACGTGTCGATCTTAGACCGGGGTCCGAGTCGCCGGAATTAGGATTTGATGCAACGTCATTTGCTCGTATTGTATGACTACCGTAGTCCAAGGTAATGATT